TTGTGGGCTGATTGATGAAATGTCTTGTAATGGGAGTGTGATGAGTCGGGCCGTGTCCATGTGGGGAGCTTTACTTAATGCATGCAATGAGCATGGGAATATCAGTCTTGGGAAGGTGGCGGCCCAACGGGCCTTTGAGTTGGAGCCCAATAACATTGGGGTTTATGTGCTGTTGTCTAATTTGTATGCAAGGAATAGGATGTGGGCCGAGATTGAAGATTTGAGGGAGTTAATGAAGAGTAAAGGTTTGAAGAAGGATCTTGGGTGGAGTTGGGCTGACGGGACAGGTTGATTGGAGACGAATTTGCTCTTAAATTATTTAGTTAGCTTATAAGTTTATTGTATTCAAATAAGTTTCTTTTGGTAGGATGATTAATTTTGAAAAATGTGGTATGATTAGTTGTTAGTGTGTATATTAAAATAATATTTATAATAAAATAATTAAAATTGATTTGATGTAAAAGTAGGAGAGAGAGATTTGAAGTGATGGTTAGTTAAAATAATGTGAGTGGATGAATAGTAAATTAAGGTTGATGTGGTGTGTATAAATGATTGATTGATATTATTTAATTATATTGATAATTTTGATGATAGTGGGGTTGAGTTAAAAAAAAAGTGGTTCGGTTAAAATGTTGGAATTTTTGTAAAAAATTCCATAAACAAACATGTCCTAAGCTTCTTTGGGTTGTTATCCAAATAAGCTCGTTGAAATTTTTATTTCAACTAGTTTATCAGCTAATTTTACCAAAAACTTTTATTAAACAAACTAGCTTTTGAGCTATAAGTCATAAACTATAAGTTATAAGCTCGAAAATCACTTATAAACTATAAGATCGTTTATCAGCTATCAGCAGCTATCAGTTAGTTTTACCAAACATAGCCTTAATTTATTATAAGTGGGAATTATAGCTATGAATGTATAATGGATTATGTTCGTTTATTTTCCCATTATAAAAGAACAAGATACTGTAAGCTTGATTCATTCTTGGTGGAACTAATCTTAGGAGATGTTTACCTGAACTGTTTCTTGTGTATGTAAAGGCTTTGTATTTGAAATGACATTGCATTTAGTTTTTAACTTTGAAAAATATCTTATTGTCTTGAATCCTTGTCCATGATCTTTTAATTTACATTTTATGTGGGTCAGTTTATCTAAACTCCAGCACATTTTCTCTGTTGTGTTAGATGTAATATTATGCAGAATTCATTTTTTATTTGAGGAAAAAATAAACAAGAGGTCTGTGTTTATTCATGTGCTACAGGTTTTGTTACTTGTAATATTATAATATTGGTTGTTTATTGTCCCCACTGTTTAGGAGATCCCAATAATTTGATTAATTTCATACAAATTGGCAAATTATATTATTTTATGTAAATGTGTAAGGATGTATCTTCTTGTTTGGTGTGTGTGGGCATTTGCTTAAATTTGAAGGAATATGCATACTTATATTTATATGATGAAATTGTCATATTTATGTTGTCAAAATATTTTGTTTTCTAAAATACAATACTTAATCTATAGAAGTATGTTAATTTGTTAGAAGAATATGTCTAGAGCTTTGTAACAATATTCTTTATTCCCAATAGTTATAGTTGTAAATCCCACTAGAGAATAACTAGCCACACAATTCAACTTTTTAAACCATTGGAAAATATATGTTGGAATCACTCATTCCATATGAGAAGGAAAATGAAAAAATAAAAATAAAAAATGTACCTTAACAAAATGATTTTCAAGATTAATTATGATCCAAAGCCTACATTCTAATAATGAAGCTACTCGATTAATCATATTTTTAACTAGAAATGCATAATTATATAGAGAAATGAAATATTTATTTATTTATTTATTTATTTTAAATTACGAAATATGGTACTAAACACAGCAAAAAGATTACCAAATTTCAAAAGAAAACCCAACAGTAAATATTTCAATGAAAATTACAATGCATATTCTAATGGTATAAATTTAGTTGAAAATTTTTAACAGAAATTACAGCGAAAATATTCCATTGAAAATTCATAATGAATTTTTTTATTAAAATTTTAGTTAGAATTTGATGATTTCAACATCATTTTTTCTATGGTTTATTGTCGTAGGATTTTTTGTTTGAATATATTATTTTTGTTGAAATTTTAGTTTGGGCCATACCTCAACCGTTGAAATCGTAAAAAAGAAAATAAATAAATAAAAAAAATAAACAAGAATTCTAATAAAAAATTCATTCTAATAGAACATTACAAGAAAAATGACGAAATTTCAACGGAAATATATTCTAATGGAATTCCAACGACAATTTCAATGGATATTTCAATGCTATTATTTCCGTTAGAATTGTTCCAATGGAAATTCCAACAAAAATATTTCGTTGGAATTAATTTTCCATTGGAATTTCCGTTGGATTTTGACGATTCCAACGGTGATGGAAATAAAAATTACAACAGAAATTGCATATTCCAACGAAAATTCCTACGGTCAAAAGCCGTTGGAAATATAGTCGTTGGAATCATTAAATTCCATCTAAAATTCCAATGAAAAAAATACATTCCAACGGAATATTTTCGTTGAAATTTCCATTGGAATCATTCCAACGGAAGTTATAACATTAGAATATCCGTTGGAATTTCTATTAGAGAATATTGTCATAGGATTTTCTGTTGGAATATAACATTATTTTGTAGTGGAATATTTTCATTGGAATCTACTGAAAAAAATTCCAATTGAGAAATAATATTGAAATTGCTGTTGGAATTCCTTTAAAATATATATTTCCGTTATAATTTCATTACTTTCTTGTAGTAGAAATTTATGAAGTTTGTAAGAAAAATATGTAAATCTACTAGCCTAGCTGTTGTAGAAAAATCCGTAAGACTAAATTCAAATATAGTCATCGTACTATACTCCATCATCTCCTGAAAAGGCATCAGTCCTCCAACAATTATTAATTCTTGTAATTGTTCAGAATGTAAACACAGTCGTGTTTGAAGATATGAGTGTTAGTTGAAAGTGAAGTTAAAAAGGTGATGTTTTTTGAAGTGTTTTTGAGTGAGACTGAGAAAGCCTTTAACACGACACGAGCCAATGGGCACTCTTACAATCGGTAAAGAAGTAACATGGCCTTTCATGTGCTTCCCTTCCTTTGATGGAGATTAATAAATAAACAATTTCACTTCTATGGCATAGCAATTATCAATTTTTTAAAAACCGTTACAACATTTTTTTATTATATTAGCAATTGAATGGTTTGTGAGTTGTGACTCATGTCAGTCACTGCTTGTACTGTCAAGGACTGAAGGGGTATACAAAATAAAATATGTGAATAAAACAAAAGGAGAAGACACAAAATGCTGGAATGTAGCAACAGCAGCATCAATAGCATTAAAATCTATTGTTTGCTTTTGTGGAACTATTTTTCTCAGCCTTAGAACATGCACACATTATACCA